GGAGGTTGCAGTGTTTTCTTGCGCTGACGGAAGTGTTCGTCGACGGCAGCTCCGTCAAAATATCTCAAACGAACCGATCGCAACTTCTGTGATGGTTTGTGCTGCCATGTCGTCGGATGCAATGGTCAATGGTTATGTTCGGATGGTAAATCGGTGGTTCCATGCCGTGTGGCACAGGCAGAACACCAAAAAACCAAGTGAGAAGATAAGCGCCAATTTTAACTTGACGGACCAAGTATTTATTGGCTCAGTATCCGAGTTAGATATTGGGAAAACACTCTGCATTGTGTGACCCGTGCAATTACTGCTTTTCCCATTTGATGCCGGAGAAGTCCAAGGACAGGGAATTAGAAATTCGGATTGAGAGCCAAGGATTGATTTATAGTAAGAAAAGGACCAGGGGACTACAAGTTATGCTATACTGTCCACTAATAGGGAGGTTTCGCTCTACGGAATTACGTATGAAAATAACGTACGAACTGCACGTAATTTTCATACGTAAAATTAGAGCTGTTGGGTTTTGCTCTACGTGATTTCTCCACGACTGCTAAAACATCCGTTGTTGCTTTGGAGATGTGTTGGCTACATGCGCCCACCGCATGCACCACGAACCGAAACCGCGTTTTCCCTTTTATTTTGCATGTGGTGTACGCGTGCATGCACCTTGTGTTTCGCGCGGCTTGAACGTTGCCATGAACAAATGCGGAAAATGCGAAAAATATTTCAAAACGTCCTACGGAGGACCCAAAGAGCTTTCCTACGGAAATCCGTAGAGAGATTTACGTATGAAAGTTGCCCTCGCTCCCCGGCGCGTACGGCATCAGGATTTTCATACGTAATTAATTACGTAGAGCGAAACCTCCCTAATACCGCCAGTTACTTGACAATCAACTCATGTGATAACATTGCAACTCACCGACTGACGATACTGACGTTCTACAACTAGCTGGCTATCAGCTCTAGCACGTCTCGGATGCGCACTCACGATTCCCAGGATGCATAGCAACATACCACACAACTTGTATGGCTCTAAAGTTTTAAAGCTCAATTGGAGGGGAAGCTAAGCAAACATGAACCATACATGGCCAGCAATCGAGGACATCTGGGAGTTGTCATTTTAGTACTCCTCCGAGGTGTGATTTTGGCCTGGGCCAAGCTAGGAGAAGCCTTCTGTCGAAGAGAACTGAAGAAAATGGTTGTTTGATCCTTTGATGTGATCTTATAGCTGCCTCTCCAAAGTCGCCACCATTATCAAGGGCCACAACAAAAGCAAGCTCAACCCTACCCCAGCGGACAAGCCCTGCAACTGCAGGAAAAAAGAAGAATGCCCGATGCAGGCCAATGCGCATACAAAATGTGCTAGACCTGATAGCCAGTTAGTTGTGTATATGTTCAGGGGGACGTTTATGAGTGGATATTAAGCCCACAATTATTTCAAGGAATGCACTGCATACTCGACCCCAGTTACTTATCTGGTCGTAACTTTGGTGTCCTTTGGCCGATTTTGGTGATCGTGGGCTTTCTGGAAAGCCGTTGGCCAGAGAAACACAATGATAGCCAGCTATCCATCATTGTATGCACAGAATCCGTGCCACAGCGGGATTCGGCGCTCCAAAGCCAGCATTGCGAGCGCCCAACTCAAATCCTCTGCTATTTCAACAAAATGTATCACAGATCGCTCAGATTTTTTTACATGAGAGCTGAGGAACATGCCTTTGCGATGACGTGAACTATCTGTAGCTGCATCGGCCGCGAGTCAGGGAACCCCCAAAACGAGTTCATAAAGCACATGCTTGAGCTGACTCTGCTGAGTGAATTTAGTTTGAGTCTCAAAACTCCGCACTCCAACCTCGGACCGCCTTCCGGGTTTTTTGAGCCGATAAGTAGCTGAGACAATTCTAATGTCTATAGACCTTTCGATTGTCCGATTTGGTCAAAGGACGGCGGAGTTACGCCAGGTTGCGCTGTGAAAAGTATGCACCGTACACTGGTACGGATGTATCCGTACTATGAGCCTCAAAGGGTTAGAGCCAGCAACCAGTAGTTCCTGATAATTTCTGAAATCTAGCTCGAATGATCATAGGTTCTGAACCTACTGAAAGACAAGTGTGGATTGTGGCCAGCCATACGCTACTTTGGCACATTGCAATTCTAAATTTGCAATTTTCTGATGGCTGTGTGTTCTTCCTATTGCCTTCATCATTTTTTCTGAATTGCAGTTTTTAGGTGCTCTGTACCAACTATTGCCGACGGCTATTCCAGCTCCGCTTCAATCGCATACTTTGAAACTGTTAGTTTTACTTGTAACCATGGCTTTTCAATCCACGGACCTGCAACATCAAAGTGCAATGCCTCTAATGGAAAGCTGACCTCTGTACCAGCGTGTTTAGGTATGCTGATTCAGTCAAATTGGTTGTGATGAATCCAGTCCTAAGAATCAACAGGTTTTTCATTACTTCACGTATGTCACGTGATTGTCGCCTTGGAGTCAACCAATGGCGGATCAAACAGATCAAGGCTAGAAAGTGCAGTCCTGCCTGCTCAAAGGTGATGGAACTGGATCCACTGCCCGTCGTCAAGTGACAACGAGCAGGAACAGAATCCACAGCCCGTCGTCACTTGGCGACGGGCGGTAGCCACTGGACTGAGACAGAGCCTCAGTCTTCATGGTCTTTCATTGCCGCGTGTTTCATAAAGTACAAGACCCCGGATTGCTTGGAAAGAGCGACTATTTAGAAAACTAACAAGATAAAAAGCTGACTAATAAATAACTAAAGAGCTGGTAACGAAAACGTTCAAGGAAATCTAACCTGTGCCAATGGTGTGGGTTTTGAATGCGCAACTTGCTTTACTTATTGCGTTGATTTCATTTCCGTCTCCACGAAAACTGTTTAAGGTGGCTCATACCCCAATCGGAAAACATGGCCCGATCGATTTTGTTCAAAATTGCACAGCTCTTTAGTGTTACCAGAATATTGTTACTCCCGGAAAATGGGAAGGATTGAAACACTTCTACATAGTTTATACCCGATTTCAAATTTTTGGTACTTGGTCCGACTTATTAAAATGTGCGTTTCGCTTCGAACATCAACCAAACAAATTCAAATAATCTCAGGACGGAATAAACTTTCCACCTATCTAACACTATCATTCAGTTGTCAATTTGTGATGTTGAAGAAGAAATGGCTCCAACTCCAAAGGAGGCAGCGGCTCAGGATCCTAGTCGACTCGAGCATTTTGCGTCCAAATTTTGTCGTCAGAGGACTCCTGTTGCTTCTCGCGCAACACAGAGAAGGCCTGGTGCTGAAATCAACACCCCGCTGCGATGGGGGATTGTCACGGAGTACCAGAACCTCTTGGGCGATCGTTCTCGAGTGCCTCCTGGCGGATTGAAATCGGGGCAATCGCTGTTTCCTTGGCAGAATTTCAGCAAACGCGTCATCCAGAAACTCGTGCAGAAAGCACCAGCATCGCTCCGTCCAGTTTGATGATCTCTCTCGCAGTCGTTCACGATGTGGCGGCCGACGAATCAAGATCACAGAAGAGATCGTCGAGAAGTTGATCGAAATAAATAACCGGCCTTGAGGTCGACTTTCAGGCGACAACCTGGCTGGAAAACTGAAGCGCAGAAAGGGTGAATTATCCGGCGGATACGGTGCGGAGTCCTCGGATCCGCGCGCGGAGCCACGATCGCGGTGCGTCACAAGATCGCCAGTCTCCGGGGCCAGTGGATTCGTGAAACAGGCAGGGAAGAGCACGCATGGTCTGACTGCATGACATGTCGACACAGATCAGACGCGCGCGGTACACGGTGGTCAGAAGCAGGGAGTAGTAAAATACGTATTTTACTACTCCCTGGTCAGAAGTGATTTTTTATGCGTGGTGATTTACTTGTTCGCCTCATTTGAAGGTGTCGTGGGAGCTTCAGGCTAAAACACCTACAGCCACCATTCTGGTAGTCGCACTGCACGAGGAGGAGGCGAAGTCGATCGTGGAAATCGTGCCTATGGAGTGAAAAAATCAAAGAAGCGCAGTGTAGCTTGGAGAAGATGAAAAAATGTCGACGTTTTGCAGGTTGACAGACTTGCAGATGCGCCCTGAGACGCCAGCAGCGATGAAAACTAGAAGGTCAGGCCAAGAAACGACACAGTAGTTATCTATCTACCGTCTTTTGGTTGATTTTTTAGTACAGGTGCTCCTTTGTACATATGCTTGAGTTTTGAAGTGAAGCGCACATTTTAGTAAGTCGGACCAAGTATTTTGGAGCACTTTGCACAACAACGCATCCCAGCATTTTGCCTCTACTGTTGTATTGTTCAGACTAACTGTTGTAGTGTTCTTTTTAGGTAGTCAAGCCCAGCAAAATAGGGTGGCTGGGTTTTCTTTTCAGGGTTCTTGGCTGCCCACACTAACAATCTCTTTCGGCTTGGAACGCAAATATCGGTACTCCGCGGGGTGCTTCCCGAAATTGGCCCGATAGATTTTCTTCATTTCTTCAAGAAGTACAGCCAGCTATGTGGTTCATATGCTAAACATTAGATATTAAATTTTGAATCAATGTGAAGTACCTAGGGAGCACGGTTTACTGAATCAAATAGCAATTGACGTGTTTGTGGACCAAAACATTATAGTCAAACATAATGGCCCAATAGATTTCATTCAAATTTTGCAAAGGTATACTTAGATAGTACTGGTAAGGGTCTTCAAAGTTATAGCCCCCCTGCAGCTACCAGAAGCATACTTTGTCAAGTGCTCTCAAAATGTCGATTTTCGGGTAAATTCACATATTACTGCCATCAAGAAAATTGAAACTGCTTTATGGATTTCCTTTAAATTTGCCATGGGTGTCCCTTTGATTGCTGAAAAAGTGCCTGCCATGTTTCATGTTTCTGCTACCACCAGAACATACCTTTTGAGTCGATTATAGAAGCTATTCTTGTCAAAACCACTACCGAAAAAGAAGAAAAAAGGTTTTCACCGGGGAGGCTCGAACCCGCGAGGGGCAAAAATTCAAAATATTTCTACTCCAAACCTGCGCAGAAAGATGCTCAAAGGACTAGTTTTCGATTTAGGTACGAGCCACCTTAAAGCAGAAGCGACTTTTTGCAACCCCAACCGTCATCATGGCGCTCCAACATTTTGATTTGGGAAAGAAAACCCTTTGTTGAACAATATTGGCGATGTGAATGAGCTTCTCAAACAAGTTGAGAAGCTCAAGATGTCTTTGGGCATCTACATACATGTAAATCGCTCATGCACGTCTGCGCACACTGCACTGGTTGGGACACCCTGTATTATGCCACCCGATGCGCCTGTCTGTGTTCCGCATGCAGCATGCGAGTATCAGGTACACAGGGCCGTGTGCCTGTCCTGGCTCAGGGTTGCGCTTACAGCTCAGTGCAGCATGCAGGTACAAGGTAGAGGAGGGTGTTTCAAATACTTCGAAGTAGAAACTGGTTTGACAGTAAAATTGTATAGACCCAAACCGATCATCAGTGTGGATTGGTCACTTGAAATATGTTTGTGGAAGGTAGCTGGCATGTTGAAGTTTGCTCTGAGGCCAGAGTCGATCGAAGTGAGCCACTCCGTTGTGTTGGTCTGTTATCTCCAAGTTGCCCGACTTTTCGTTTCAAATTTTGGTTTCACAGAAGTTGTTCCAAACTGGAACGCACGATGGAGTGCCCATCAAGTTCACCCTGAGTTCTGAACTTAGGTAATTGCTATCGCTCCACGATGGCTAGTACAGAGAAACAGTAAGCCTCGTGTGTGCTTCCATTAGTTTTCATTGGTATACGGTGCTTTATAGGCGAGAGGTGAGCCGCTGTTTACTTGCGACAAGATAATTATTTTTTGAAAGATGTAAAAACTCAAGTCACAGTGTGAAGCAACACGTCCAAAATTCACCTGCTGGGTATGGCTCTTCTGGTCATCGCGGAGCCATGAACTTTTGGCTCGGAGTAAAACACATCGCAGCCTCACTGAGACATAATTATGTTTTCTAATCAAAATATCAGGAGGGAAAGTGAATATTGAGTCCGTTCCGGTTTGCGACATATCTCCTATTTGAAGCACCCTCCACTACACAGAGCTGTGCGTCTGTCTCAGCTCTGGGTCGCACTTACAGCTCAGAGCTCGAACATGCACTGTATATCACACCAGCTTGGAGAGCTCAAACTGTTTAGTTGTTATCTGGAGCTTCTTGCTCAGCAGAAGTGGTTGGCTTCTGAGTTCTTTTCCCACCATCCCAACCTTACCATTATCTATAATCAGGACCTCCACTACCGGTCCACTTTTCACAATAAATACTGGGTGCTGGCACAACTCTTAACGGCAATGGTTTAACTCGTTCAATCACTCCGCGCTCTATGTTGAGCGAACACATGCGCCCTATGTTGAGCCACATTGCCCCATTCGCAACCAGCACCTGCATAACTCCAAACTCTGTGCACTGTGTGTTTGTAGTAGTAGTAGTAGTAGTAGTAGTTTTTATTATTTTACTAGGGGAGTCCCAACAGGCTACTGCCTTTTTACTGGGAACCCTAGGTGAAGTATAACCATAATAATATTATTATTGAACAGAGCAAGAGAGTGGGCCTGTCGACAGTCAGCTGGAAGAGAGTTCCATCTGCCTGCCGCCAGAAAAGAAATAGAGCGCAAGCCATACTGCGTATAAAAGAGTGGGAGAACTAAGGGTCTTTGTGCCTTGCCCCGGAGCATGCCTGGTGACCAGGTGCAGTTGCCCGAAGCTGGTACAAAGACTGAAGAAGACGACTAGCAAGATGCTGGGCCAAGCAGCAGTACACCAAAACATAGAGCTTGAGGCTAATACACGGTTCCAAAGAATAGAGGTGATATAAGCGAAGAACTATTTCAGTGGGCGTGGTAGGATCGAGTCCAAACACTCTCTTCATTGCTATGTGACTAACGATCACTATCCTATTGTACAGAGTTGTGCTTAAGCAATGTAGGTAAGCGCACCTTTTCCTCACCCACTTACTGAAGTGTGATGAGCCCATAAGTGGGATCATTTTTAAGTCCACCCAGAGGTTTGGGGATTTCAGGGGTGTCGGCCGTTGGGCCGTTCAATATCCAATTGAGTCATCTTTCCAAGATTCCTTTTGAGTCTCTCTCCCCTCTTCCGGGGAGACCCACGTGACCAGTTGTGGCAGTGAGCAACAAGTACAAGTGTGTGTGTGTGTGTTTGTGTGTATATCTGTGTATGTGTGTATGTGCGAGCATGCATGCTTCCACGTGTGTGTACATGCCCTGTCAAGGTTCTACAATGTAATTTTCAAATAATCTGCTTTTTCAGATTATAGAAGATGAACGTTTGTGTTTGCTGTTGTGTGTTTACAGTTGCACCGTTAGTGAAGCGTTGTCAAGGTCTCAAAGTGCAGGTCTTCCCGCAGTACACTGGTGACTTTATCAGCGGCCTTGATGACGTGCATACAGTCTGTAGGGGCGCATCCCTTTTCAACACCATGGACATGACCCAGTCCTCCAGCTGCGTCTACTCTCTATTGGAAAATGTAACAATGCGCACAAATATACCAACCTACTGGACCTCGAATTCAGACAAAGTTCTGCAGTTCAGCTCACAGGACAACGGTGTCAGGGATGGTGTCACCGGTGTTGCCGTCATCAATCGCACCGGCACTAATCATCTAATCGCGTGCTTTGGTAAGAACTTAATGTAAGATGGAATGTCTTATAACATTGTGAATTTGAGCCCGGATGGTGAGCCAATTAAATTATGGTGAAAAAGGAGAAGTCTGGTTATGTCGGTGGACAGTTAGTCATAAGTCGTAGCATTATGAATGGCAGTGTTGTCTTGGTTGAAGGACGAACTACTTCTCTACACCCTCGCCACGCCACTTAACAACAGGACTAGGAAAATAGTTGTTTCGCGTTACAGAGAGAAGGGAGGGAGGGAGGGATGGAGGGATGGAGGGAGAGAGAGAGAGAGAGAGAGAGAGAGAGAGAGAGAGAGAGAGAGAGAGAGAGAGAGAGAGAGAGAGAGAGAGAGAGAGAGAGAGATAGAGACAGAGAGGGAGAGACAGAGAGACAGAGAGAGAGAGAGACAGAGAGAGAGACACACAGAGAGAGACAGAGAGGGAGACAGAGAGAGACAGAGAGAGACAGAGACAGAGAGAGAGACAGAGAGAGGGACAGAGAGAGACAGAGAGAGAGACAGAGAGAGAGACAGAGAGAGAGACCGAGAGAGAGACAGAGAGAGAGACAGAGAGAGAGACAGAGAGAGAGACAGAGAGAGAGACAGAGAGAGACAGAGAGAGACAGAGAGAGACAGAGAGACAGAGACAGAGACAGAGACAGAGAGAGAGAGAGAGAGAGAGAGAGAGAGAGAGAGAGAGAGAGAGAGAGAGAGAGAGAGAGAGAGAGAGAGAGAGAGAGAGAGAGAGAGAGAGAGAGTGAGAGAGAGAGAGGGAGACAGAGAGAAATGGAGGGAGAGGTACAGATAAGGAGAGAGAGAGAGAGAGAGAGAGAGAGAGAGAGAGAGAGAGAGAGAGAGAGAGAGAGAGAAGAGACGGAGGGAGAGGTACAGATAAGGAGAGAGAGGGAAAGAGGGAGGGAAAGGGAGAGAGAGAGAGAGAGCGAACCGTGATAAAGAAAGACACATTGCCTGGGAAATGTGTCTCAAAATTCTGAGATCACCAATGGTTTGGTTATTGCTGTCCTTGTTGGCATTACTTCCATTACCTGTTGCTGTTGTGGTTATATTGGTGTTGTTTCAGAGGAGTATGATGCTTGCACTGAGGGTACTCATGACTGTGGAGTCAATCAATGTATAACAACTGCGGGCTCCTACAGCTGCAGGTGTAACAATAGCCCAAACCGCAATTGGTACACTGGAAGCCGTTGTTATGACACAGGTAAGACTTTGCCTTCTGTGCAGTGGCGGAGAGTTGCACATGGCACGCATTTCGGTGTGGCTCTTCTCCTCTGGTTTCTACATTCTTTGGTTTAAAAAAAACAGAGCACAACTGTGGCTAGACGCGGATGGAGAGCCAACAATTGATTTATAGTAGGGGTGAAACGATTAGTTCGAATATTCGAGTATTCGTTCGAAAATTTCAAACGAGCGAGTATTCGAAATCTTGCACTCGATGGTTTTTTTTTTTTTTTTTTTTTTTTTAGGATTGGCATTGTATTTTTTTAAAACTTTTGTTGTACCGCTGGTCCACTGGTATGCATGCGTTATGCATGGCTTTGAGTCAGTATTTTAAGACTTGGACGATGCGATCACCACGGCAAGTAACGTTCTGAGATATGAAAGTACTGATGAAAATCGTTACTTTACACTCTGTACAAGACGTTGGCGACTTTTGTTCTATGTTCACAGATAATTTCTTCCGAATTGGTCGAGAACTTGCAAATCTAGCGCTTTTGAATTTTGATAAAATACTCGAAATAATCGGATACTCGATCGAATATTATGAACGAGTGATCGGTTGGTCAAAATAGATACTCGTTTCACCCCTAATTTATAGTAAGGAAAATTACCAATGGACTACAAGTTAAACTGTACCATAATTCCGGACACACGAGCCTAAGTTCACGTGTTTATATGTGAAATGATGCAGTTTGGGGGTTAAATATCCAGTAAAAATGTTCGGTTTTTGGCCCACCAAAATTCGAATTTGAAGGTTCACGAAAAAGTGCAAGTCTGTGATCATAGTGGGTCTACCATACTGGTAAACTGCACTGACCTGCAGTACCATGGTGGCAAGAATACATATTGTGAAAAATTCTACTCTACACGTGAGTCGTATTTGTGTCTGTCTACTAGCACATGGGCTTATAAACAGAGGTGGGCTTATAAACAGAGGTGGGCTTATATCCCAATACAGGCCCGTGGGCTGATATGCGCGGAATAACGGCAATGTCCACAAGCACTGCTGATAGCCAGTTAGTTGTAGATCGTCAGTACATCATTCAGTGTCGTGCAATGGTATCGCAGGAGCTGACTGTTCAGTAACTAACGTCAAGAGTACATGAAAACCAGAGTGTGCAGCTTGGGGCCTTTTCTGCTATGGGTGTCTGTCACGGCGGAATTCCGTGATTACATCATATTTGGCGCAGATCTGAGGCGGGAAATGGCGTAGTGCGTACAACTGAGCTGCAGTTGTGCAGAAAGAGACCTGCTTGAATCCTGCTTGTACACACTACATCACTAAAATGATGTAATCACGGAATTCCGCCGTGACAGCAACCCATCCGAGCTGCACACTATGGTTTTCATGTACTCTTGCTAACGTGCATGAGCAGTGTTGAAACCGAAGCCATTGGTCGGTTTAGGTGCTCTTGCCCCGCCTCCACTGTTTCGCCTGCCATCGCTATGTGCATTTTGCCAGCGTTTTTGCCGGCGTTTGCACCATGATGGTTTGGTGGTTTGTTTGTTTTGTTTGTATTTTTTTTTATTTAGAGTGGGAAGTCCAAAACAGGCCCTAGCCTAATAACAATGTGGTTATCTTGTGAAAGAATAAAATAAACTTTTTAATGGCAATCAGCAGAATCAGTGAAGCGGACATTGGACGTAGTAATCAACAAAATAAAATATGGATAATAAAATTTCCTAACAAGTTTTTTAGAGACATTCTTCAGGCAAATCCGTCTCGATAATATAATCTAGCAATAAACAACAATATAAAATTATGTGGAAGAGTATGAAATGCACAGTGTGAAAGAAAGTAGGAGAAAAGAAGGTGAAGTGCGAATGACTAGAGAAGTGTGAATTAACCCTTTGCCGGTCTAACTCAATGTATGTGAGGGGTGGTCACGCAAATACATGTACACACAACCAGCAATAACTCAAGAACCATGTGATTTAGGTATGGGTAAACCATATATTTTCAAAATCTGTATGCCTGAACGCGTCCAGAAAATTCAAATATGACTAGGTCCAGGCAGGGATAGGGCCCATGGTAGCCTTTCAAGTTGAGAGAAAATACAATTGCGAATGAAATACACGAATATCACAGCACGAAGGGCATACCAAGTTCGTGATGGAGCTGAAGTCGTACGATAAACAATCAGGTGAGGGCTACGTCTTTACAAGAAATGTAGGCTCTCTACAATACCGCCATTGAACACCAACACCTCGCCATCGGCGATACGCCAGCAGCGGCAATTCCCATTCCACGACATCGCACCTTCGGTTTGTTTACCTCAGGGCTGCTCGCGTCAGATTCACTCTCGCTCAGATGAGCACTCAGGCGCGAGCTTACGCATGCCGTGATTCTCACGGCCAGGCGAATCAGCTGATCGCACCTGACGAGTCCTTGTGACAGTCGCTGTCGCCGTGTCGGCAGCAAGAAGGCTTCCTCTCTGTTTGGAGAATTTTGTTTCTTCATTCGTGGACGATATATTTTTGAACTAGCAGGACTCAACGGAGCTCTTTTTCTCAACACACTACACTGCAAAACCTCCCGGGAGATCCAGCCTGGACTGGTGGTGTTACTGCTCTCAGAACGCTTGTCAAACACGGCCCCAAGAGATGCACTCGCATTCTCGAAATGCACGCATGGTGGATGGTCGTCTTTTCCAATTTCAAAAAAACTTCAGTCGATCGATACGGCAAAAAATTGTATGGTAAGCATGGTTGTTTTGTACATCGTCAGAAAGCCTTGGACCTCAGCTACGCGTAGAGCGCAATTTTAGCTGTCTCCTAGCAACAAGACTCCAAAAAAATGAGGGCCAAACGTACCGATACTATAGTATCGGTTCGCTTATGGTAGACCGGTAAAGGGTTAATAACAGGGGTGGGCGAAGAGAAAAGAATATGATGAGGAAGTGAGAAATATTAGCAATGTGAGACTCAGAGAGGGTGAAGTGTAACGAGTGCGCGCATGGGTATGTGGGTGGGCGTATGTGTGTGTGTGGGTGAATGCTAAGTTTATTGACATCCTTTAACCCCTTTAGCGCGAGCGTCGTACTAGTACGACGCACATTAGTTGCATGCCCCACGACCGTCGTACTAGTACGACGCTGTAGAGCGAAGCTGCCTATCGTGATCGTGGGGTCCGTATCGAGTCCCAGTGGCTCTGTCGTGGACCGCTGGCTGTTCGCGGGCTGCTGGGGGCTGCCTGGAACCGGCACGTGATTCGAGGCGGGAAAAATCGAACGAAAGGAGACGCACGGGGAATAGTTTCAGGCGAGAACATTTTGGTTGAAAATGCTGCGCCGCGCGAGAGGAAGAACTGTGGACGAAGCGCTCCACGAGCTGTTTCTGAGTTCAGACAGCGACGTGGAGCCGTCAGTGAGTAGCGACAGCGACGAGGAGGGTCTATGGACGCCAGCAAGGGCCAGAGTTCAGAACGAAACTGCGCCTGATGTGAGTGGCGGAGCAAGCGCCAGTGTCGATGAGTACGTCGCGGAGCACACGGACATCGATGTTGCGAATGAAGCGCAGCCGGCGGACGTCCGTGACAGCAGTAGCAGCAGTAGTACTAGTGGCACGGAGAGCGACGATGATGAACAGGCGTCCGAGAGGTCGCATGTCCACATCCAGGAGCAGCTTGCCGCAGGAGACGATGGGAGCGAAGGTAATTATCTTTTCAATAGTATTTATTTGTTCGTGTGAATTTGAGTACGCTGTGTTTGCACTTTGAGCTGAGTAAAACTATTATACGTGCGTTTGTACCTTTGTTGAAAGTAGTCTTACTGTAATATTCCTGGCCATCGTTCAAGATCTGTTTGGCGTTATGCATAGCGTAACTGGAGAATTTTCAAACAAAATGTTGCCTAAATTCCAGAGTATTTGAGACGTACATCAGCCTTCCTACACTGTAGGGCATCATGTGGCCTGATATTTCCTACATTATTCGTGTTGTGATGTATTAGGGCAATGGAAGATGGAAGAAAACCAGCCCTTGCAAGACTCGTTCACTGCCCAGCCCGGTATCAAGGTGCCAGTGCCAGAAAATGCTGAGCCATATCATTATTTTTGCCTGTTTTTTACTTTACAATTTTGGCAATTGCTCTGCACTGAGACCAATCGATTTGCCCAGCAATATCTAAATGCACACCGTGACACACTCCCAGCTCGTAGCAGATTTAGGAAATGGGTAGACGTTAGCGTACAAGAAATGAAAGTGTTCTTTGCTCTATTTTTGCTGATGGGATTTATTTGGAAGCCAGAAATCGATCTCTATTGGAACAGGAACCCTCTGATTTTCACCCCTTTATTCCCCGCCTCGATGAAGCGCGACCGATGGATGTGTATTGCAAGTTTTCTGCACTTTGCAAACAATGAAGACGAGACGGCTAGAACCGACAAGCTTAGGAAAATTCGGCCGTTGATTACATTTTTCCAGGATAAATTTCAGACCGTGTACATTCCGTATAAACATATCTCTATTGATGAAGAATTAGTGCCATGGAAGGGTAGACTAGATTTTAGGCAGTTTATACCCTCGAAACGAGCAAGATTTGGTGTCAAGATATATGCTCTGTGTGAGTCTAGTGGTTATATGTCTAACTTTTTTGTTTATGTTGGCCGAGATGATCATGCCTATCAGCCTGGCTTAGTAGAGAAAGTCGGCAAATCTGGTGCCGTAGTTGTCCATTTATTAGATCCATTATTTTTAGACAAAGGCTACAACGTATACATAGATAACTTTTATTCTAGTATTGAGCTGGCTGAATACTTGGAGACCAGGAAGACCGGAGTGTGTGGAACAATTAGAAAGAATAGGCGTGGCCTTCCAAAGCGGTTGGTGAACCTCAAGTTGAAGAAACGCGGATCGTTTGCATATCGTACAATGGGCAGTAAATTATTTGTAAAACTATCGGACACCAAAGAAGTATATTTTCTCACCAATTTGTTCAAGCCTAATGTTATTGCAACGAATAAACGCGACCGCACCAGGAAACGGGTTCACAAACTCAACCTTGTTCACCAATACAATCAGTACATGGGCGGTGTGGATCGCAATGATGCTCTTCTGTCGTACTACAGTGCATTGAGAAAATCCATGAAGTGGTACAAAAAAATAGGTGCACATTTTATCGAAGAAGCATTATTGAATTCATATATATTATATAAAAAGTCCAAGAGTATGCCACACCATGAATATGTTATATCTGTATTATCTGCATTGCTTGCGGATGGCACGGGTCCCGCCGCTGCTGATGATGTTGCTGTTGCCAACCCTGCTCCTGCGGATGCTGCTGGCCCTGTACCTACCACACCAGTTGTCCCTGCTGCTGCTGCCGCTGCTACTGCCACACCTGCTACTCCTGCCACTCCTGCCACTGCTCGTGGCCTAGTTGTGTCCTCCAGGCTTGGTGGGCGCAAGGGTCACTACCCCGCACCCGTACCTGCCTCTTGCGGCAAGCCTGAGGGCAAGTCGCAGCGCCGGTGTGTCGTATGCTCCCACAATGGGGTTAGAAAAATGGTCACAATCTGCTGCCTGGACTGCGTGGACATGCCTGGCCTATGTGCCACTCCATGTTTCAGAATTTATCACACATGCGAGAAGTTTTAATTTTTCATTTATTTCTGTCAAAATCTTGAGATTTCGGGTTTTTTCAATTACTCCCTTTCCGTGTACATATCCCTCTAAATCCTGTAAATATCATTGTTTTCATCGTTTCTGAACCTCATAGTCCTGTGTGATCAGGACAGAAGTCAATAAACTGAATTTTCAAAAATCTCAATTTTGCCCAATTTTGACTGCGTGGGGCAGTGTCAAATGCATGCGCGCTAAAGAGGTTAAAGGGGAACTCCGGTCCAAAATCACCCCCATTTTTTATTGCGGAATCCATTAGAGTATGTCGTAAGTGGTAGAATGGCGAAAACCGGAAGCTTCAACGACAAGGATAACACACCTAAATTACCAATTGCAATTTTCCATATTTGGCACGAGGAGGCCCCCGCCCACCCTGTGACGTAAAACGTTCTCAGTGACCTCCAAATTTTTTCATTCAAATTGTAGACCTACAGAAATTTTGAAAAAGGTATTCACTGTTTTTTCTTCAATCAATAACCCTTGGTTGATAAATATGGTGGTAAAGACACACCTGGCAATATGGCGGTAAACACACGCCTGCCCACACACGCTCTCTTGTCTGCAAAGTTCTGGCACAGAGCTCTCCTTCTCACCACCACCACCATCAGTTCGCGCCTGAACTTTGCAGCCTAGAGAGCGTGTGTGGGCAGGCGTGTGTTTACCGCCATATTGCCAGGTGTGTCTTTACCACCATATTTATCAACCATAAGTACAGCTGCAGTGGTGTCTTCAACTTCATTCTCCCGAGTCAAGCTCCGTATGAAGACATCCAAGAAGAAGATTGCCTGATGAGTCCAGCGGGGACGAAACGTACGTCGCAATCAAGCTATGTTGTTGCTGTGTCATCATCTATGTGCCATGCGCTACTTAATGTACCAGCCTGCTATGCCGGATACTGCCAGCCATGCATCGACCCGGCGCCAGGCGCGAACTGATGGTGGTGGTGGTGAGAAGGAGAGCTCTGTGCCAGAACTTTGCAGCCTAGAGAGCGCGTGTGGGCAGGCGTGTGTTTACCGCCATATTGCCAGGTGTGTCTTTACCACCATATTTATCAACCATAAGTACAGCTGCAGTGGTGTCTTCAACTTCATTCTCCCGAGTCAAGCTCCGTATGAAGACATCCAAGAAGAAGATTGCCTGATGAGTCCAGCGGGGACGAAACGTACGTCGCAATCGAGCTATGTCGTTGCTGTGTCATCATCTATGTGCCATGCGCTACTTGATGTACCAGCCTGCTATGCCGGATACTGCCAGCCATGCATCGACCCGGCGCCAGGCGCGAACTGATGGTGGTGGTGGTGAGAAGGAGAGCTCTGTGCCAGAACTTTGCAGCCTAGAGAGCGTGTGTGGGCAGGCGTGTGTTTACCGCCATATTGCCAGGTGTGTCTTTACCACCATATTTATCAACCATAAGTACAGCTGCAGTGGTGTCTTCAACTTCATTCTCTCAATAACCCTTGTACTAGTATTCATTCGATCATCATTTTGGAGGAAGAGGAGACCACGGGAGGTGTGGACGTGGACGCCACTTCGGATTCAGCAACACCGAGGCCTTTTAGGTTCGAGCCGAAGCGCGCATCAGCGTCTGCGAAACTGTCTACAAGTAACATTTCTGAGACTACAAAGCGGATGAACGTGAAGAGAACGCTTTGGTTGCAAGTGCTCGCGTGAGAAGCACTGCTTGATGCCCTTGCGGACAATGCAGCCTGAGGTGTAGCGAGGTCGAGTCGACTTGTTGCTGGGAGGTTCCTGCAGCTTTCAGTAAACGCGGCGAGCAGGAAGGGCTGCAGTGCGTCACGCAGCACTCAGAGTTTGCTGTTGTTTGCCTGCGAAAATCAGTGCTCGAGGTGGCATTGCTTTCCTTCGAAGAATTTCGGACAAGGTGTCAAACAGGTGAGGATTCACTGAATCGGTTTCATTATTTTCTTTCTTTCCATGTTTCATGTACCGGTACAAAGTAGATGGGAAGTGTTGTGCAATAATTTTGTGTACAGTACCTGTATTCAAATTCATCAACTTCCATCACACAATCATGAAGTTCTATTGCAGTTGGACATGATGATGATGATGATGATGATAAAGTAAAGTTGGTAAAGTAACATCATCTGTCATTCAATATCTATCTGGTAAAATAATCAGCATTTGAATATCTACTTGGTACTAATCATTCAACTGTTAAATGTCATATTTTTACCTGAATATCTATCACAATTTTTGCACATAATCTCGGTTATCACCGTTTCAAGCCCGTACAAGAGGCCGTTTCCAATGATGATGATGATGATGATGATGATTTTTTTCTCTCTGCTCTCGTGCTGGCCAGTTGGTGATTTCGTTGCTCTGCTCTTCAGGAGGACTCCCAGTTGCTTGCTTGGATGATTCTGCCCTCTGCTGCTGTTTGGTGGAGCAGTCGTCTCATTTTATCCCTCGGATCACGCAGTGGCCATTGTTTGGAGAGGTGGAGCGTGTTCGGGACTATGGCTGCTGGTGGTGCTGACCCGGTGCTGCCTGTGCAATCTCTACAGCAATGCCCTGCTGTCGGTGTCAGGCAGGTCGCAAGTGTATTAGATGTACCTGTGTTTGCGCGGGGAGACGATGCGTGAACTGCTACCCAGGTAGAGCTGATCCGTGCCTATGCTTGAATCAGATTCAGGCTGCTGCTTCACAGCCACATGTGGGCAGTGGTGTCACTGGTGGTGCTAATGGCCACTCCGCCAGCCAGCCAGCCCGTGTCAACTCGGAAATATGGAATGGCGCTAGTGATGCTTCCATGTCGTCGGATGATGATGGTGACAATGGGCAGGCTGCGAATTTGCGGCCGCGACAGGACCTGTCGCCTTTGGCTAGGTCAGGCGGGAACTTGCGGCCTCGGCGGGGCTTGTCGCCTTTGGCTCGGTCGGGTCTTCATGTTGACTCAGTGCCCCGTGCTGATGCCAGCACCATGTCTAGTACCTCGTTTGATGATGCGGGCGTGGATGCTTCTCGCCATGTTTCCAGTCAATCAGCGGGGTTTGATGGCGTCGGTGCTGGCTCTGTGTCGTTACCTGGTGACACTGATCAGCTCGCCAGTGGTTTTCCTGCTGGTCAACCTGGTGGATCGGGTGGTGTCGGTGTAGACACTTTGGTGTCTGGTGGTGGCTCTACCCAGCGGGTGTCTGACCAGTCTTTTGCTACTCACCCTGCTGACATTGCGCCTGAGACAACTGCTACCTCTCAGTCTTCTAACATATCTCCTAACACTTCTTTTCATCTTGATATATCGTTGGCGTATGAGAAGGTGGTTTGCTGGCGTCGACATTTATTCAATGTTCCGCTGGGGTCTGCTGGTGGTGAATTTGTCGATGAAATCACCAGGCTGATCCAGGGTTTTACCAATGCCACATCGCTAAGGCCAGTATCATGGAAGGCAGTGGTTGTTGCCTGCCATGTGCTTCTCCAGCGTCCCCACGGTTCGAAACTGATGGCTAATTACAGTGACCACCTGCGGCGCCGGCTTACTATGTGGAAGTCTAGCCATATAGATGATCTTCTTTCCGAGGGTCAGTGCCTTCAGGATCGCCTGGAGCCGCGGGCTCAGTCTTCCTCTGATTCCAATAATGAGAAGAGTGACATTACATTCAGTAATTTAGTATTTTCTGGAAAATACAGTCTGCGATTCGGTATTTGTCAAGTGAGTCCTCGAGTAGCGTGATGGGCATGGCAGACGTGGTGGATGAGGAGACTGGAGCCACAGTGCAGAAGACTCTGCTGCAAAACATCCGCCTGCTGCTGAGCCGCCTGCTTCGGTTCTCCTTGACAACAATATTGACCAGATTAACAACATCGTATTCCAGAAGATTACACCAGAGCTCATCCGACGGCTTGCTCGACAGGTGCAGGGCTCTTCGGGACCGTCGGGACTGGACTCTGAGGCATGGTGTAGAATGCTCACTTGTTATCGAAAGTCCTCAGACAGCCTCTGCACGGCCCTCGCTAAGTTTGCTCATTGTTTATGCTCAGAGACCCTCGACTCGGAGCATCTCGTGGCGTTTACAGCTGCTCGTCTGATCCCATTGGACAAGCGCCCTGGTGTACGCCCAATTGCCGTAGGGGAGGCATTTCGACGGATTGTGTGCCGTGCCGTCGTGCGAGTGCTTGAGGTGGATGTACGCCGG